GCCTCAGGTCGTTCCTTTCATTCGCTGTGCATGGGTGATACCTCCATCTACTTCATATCAGCTTCTTCGTCGGGAGTCTTCTTGGATATACTGAGCCTGAGGAGTTTCCCGGACGGTTCCCCACGGCTCTGATTCGTGGCCGACACCGGGTGCGGTCATCCACCCAGTCCTCGGCTGGGTACCTGATCTGGCTTTACTTGAAATGTCCTGGAGTCATCGCGCATACTTCGTTTAGGCTTCAAGCGAAGGCATGTGCTGTCCTACCACTCGAAACTGGGAGTGGTCTCGTTCGTCCTATCGGGGAACAGGGTGCGGCTTTTCGCGGCATTTCATTTCTTCCATGTTCGGCCTTAGGTGTGTTGGGCCTTCTCGGCACTGCTTTGACGGTGTGGGTGCGTGCTTCCGTGGAAGACCATGCTGGCATGGCAAGTGAGTATGTGAGGCCAGGTGCTAGGTGGTGGTGTTGCGTCATGGTTTCTTTCGGGAGAGTTTCTTCGAGATTCCTCAGAGATACGGGCTCGAACTCATCATTTTGGGGGTCGCTGCTTTCCAATGAGCACGCGTGGGTGGTGGTGCGCCCGTAGGGATCCGAAGTCCTGTCGTTTCGTGTTTCTGCGGAGCGGGTTTTGGGGTTGTTCCCCCATGAGTCGGTTGTTGTAGGAGCTTCAACGAACCTGATTTGATCCCTTCGAAGGGGTTCCCGAGCATCCTCACTGTGTCGGGGTCAGTTACTAACTCATCATCACTTGACCTCTCGAGTATTGGCTCATCTTAAGGAGGTGTCTCCATTGCTATTGCCCTGGGAGTCTCCGGGCGACTTTGCAGCTGAGCGATAGCTGACTGTCGTGCCTGAAACATTTCAAAAATATCGTGGAGATTAACTTTCTGTTCTTCCCGGGCCGGGGTTTTTTGAGCTTTCTATTGGTCAGAGAGTTGTATGCTATTATCGGTGCGCGAGGCTTCGTTGACTTGTTGCGCGCCTCGCAAGCCCGTGTCTGCTTGAATCGACCAAGATGTGTTATCAGGGTCCTGTGGTGTTGTGTCAATTTGGAACAACCATATTGCTTCCGCCGTGGTTCTCGAGGTAGTCGTTCTCGATTTTGCTTTCCGAGCCAGACATTAACCTGAAATCAAAAGATCATGGACAAGAAAAGTGTGAAAGATAACGGGCGTTTGGGTGACGAAACCAGCAAGAAAATAATCACTATTATTTTTAGCCCCACGGTGGGCGCCAAACTGTTTACCGTAAAAATGGTAACAACAATTAAATTTGTACATAGGATTCTAAAAATACGTGATCTATTCTCTAGCTAGTTGTTAAGGCAGTTTGTATTAACAATACATGGTATAATAATAAAATACGAACTAAATCGAGGCAGTAGGCAAACTTAAGGGGCCTGTTAGCCGGATACAGAGTAGGTCGATGGAGGCCTCGGGGCCGAAACTCGGTCCGAGTTCGAACTATCAGGGATAGTCGGGAAGGGGATAATAAGAAGTAATATGATTGAATAAGGCTCTTTATGGCCAATGTATAGCTGGAAGGTGAAGAACAAGTAAGAAAACAATAAATGCGAAGTGGCCTCGGGCCAATGAGAACGAATGACTTAGAAGAAAAGGGGGGAGAGAGAGAGATATTATTGCACTTGTGGAGAAATGGAGCAACATCCATCCTTTACAAGATGGAGTGAGCCCCCTTTATATAGAGGGGGAGACTTGGCTACAAGTATATGGGGGTTAGCTACAAAGTACAGTGATGGGTTGGCTTGACGTGATGCTTCAGCGTAGGCATTGGGTAGGTCGCGTTTGTCAGGCATAGCCATGTGCCTAGAGGGCATCTTCCTCTATTTCCTCCGAATCGGGCTTCGACGAGCCCCGAGGTTGAGAGTTCGGTTGTGGCCTCCTGCTCTTGAAACCCCGGGATATGCTTCCGAAATGTCTTAACAGTGAGAAATCGAGTCTTCCGATTTCGCCGCGTACAAATAGCATGTTCCTTCTTATTTGAGTTATACCAGCATGTGTAGTTATCCTATTTAGCCTAGAATAGCATGTCTACGTGTCTTAAGTTCTTACCTGAACTCTGTGCACCATGCTTAGTGGATTTCCTTCTTTTTCCTTGACTTGTATTTAGCCTAAACTACAGGATTTCTTGTTGTAACTATTATTCCATTATTTTGAGCTGCCTATTTACTTTGCGACTATGAAACGGTATTCTGGGAGATCCCCCTGCGTATTTACTTTGGGACTACGGAACGGTATTCTGGGAGATCCCCGTGTACATTTACTTTGGGACTATGGAACGGTATTCCGGGAGATCCCCCGGCATATTTACTTTGGGACTACGAAATGATATTTTCGGGAGATCCCCATGCACATTTACTTTGGGACTACGGGACGGTATCCCGGGAGATTCCCCTACACATTTACTTTTGGGACTACGAGACGGTATTACGGGAGATCCCCAGTTGTTGGTCCTGTGTACTGTACTGCTATGCTTCTGTGATTATCTTCTTGTTAAATGTCAGTCTTTTTATTATACTACGATATTTTGTACTATCATATTTAATATTTATATATACCAGAAGGGCCCTGATCTGACCTCGTCACTACTCAACCGGGGTTAGGTTTAGTACTTACTGGGTACCGTTATGGTGTACTCGTGCTGCTCTTCTACACATGTTTTTGTGTGCAGATCCAGGTGCCTCCTACCAGCCTCATTTTTAGTTGCATAGCTGCTACTGCTCCGGAAACTTCAAAGTACATCTGCTCGCGTCTGCAGACCTCGGAGTCCCCCTCTATCTCTTTTGTGTTGTCCTTCCCTATTTCTTCTAGATACTGATGTATAGAACATATAGATAAATCTTAGAAGCTTGTGACTTATGGTGTTCTGTGTCTTGGGAGGATGTTGTGTATATTTGAGAATTGATTATTGTATATGCCGAACGACATCTCTATCATTTATTTAAATTATCTGTTGTTGTTAGTCGTTACGGTTTTTGCTTCATCGTTGGTTATTTATCGCAAATGATAGGCTTACTTAGTCGTAGAGACTAGGTGTCGTCGGGACATTTTACGGAGGAAGGATTAGGTCGTGACATCCTTAGACCCCAAATCACTTATAATATGCCTCGTACACTTATTATCATATCTAATTGGTATCCATCATATTAATAGTCTTCGTCTGCACATAAAATAATAAAATTAACGCACATCAACTTTCTTAATAGCGCTTAAGTACATTGAAATTTTTCGGAGTGTTACAGCTAGAGAGTGTAGTTTTGACATATCTAACAATAAAATTCTAAATTTTTTATTTAGGATAGTAGGTGAACCTTAAACATTTAGATATATTCTTGGTCTTTCAATCATAGTACTCTCCGTATAATATTCTGGAAATTTATAAGTTTTATATATCAATTCAGAATAGTGTAGCATATTATATTGGATATTTTGATCTGCAATTAATTTATTTGCCATTACTTTAACTGTATGTTTTTAATGAACTAAACATTTTCGGTGTTTAATAACAGCACACATTCTAGCACAGAATAAACGTTTTTCATATAAAATTTATAATAATATATAACAATGCAGATATTATTAGTTACGATCTCAATTACAAATAAGAAGAATCGTAGATTAACACAGTGAGAAGAATAAGAAGATTAAACCAGAAAATTTGAAGAATCGGAATAATAATCGTGAGAGCTTACTTCAATTTGTAGATTGACACCACGAGATTCTGCGGAAACAGAGCATGAGGTCATGTCGCGTAACTCTTATAAACAATGTAGGGGTATTTTTATCAATAAATTGTTCCTGTGCTAATTTACTGGCTAAATATAGTTGACTTTGGATTATACGGCTAAATTTGATTGACCAACAGTAAAAATGGCTAGTTAAATTTTTTTTCGCCTTGATGTTGATAGTGGCCCGATTTCAGTTCAGTAGTCCAAAAAAGAAGGCCTAATAGACTGTAGTAGTCTATANTATATATTTTGTACTTATGTACAAAAATTATACAAATTTTATACACTTTTTTCGGCTATCAAAGGTAAATAGTTTTGGATGCGGGTAAAAGTGAAAAAAGCCTAGCCTATATTATCATTGTAATCAGTTTTTACATTTTTTTTTTTGTAAAGAGGGAAAACCCGCAGCCGCTACAACCTCTTCGGGTGAGCCTCTGCCCTTCGGGTGAGCACTTTGTGCGCACTGAGTAAACCTCCCCTTGTGTAATCGCCTGTAAACCACACAGAGGATGTAAACCACACTAGGCAAGCCCTGTGCGACAAGCTTTACCTATAAGGCATTGAGAGGGATTCGATCCCAGGACATCCATATGGATGATCATCCTCCAAACCAACTGGGCAACCCCGAAGGGTTTATCAGCTTTTACATTATTAGCCAGTTTACTTGTATTTCTGTCCACATTTGTAATTTGCATTAGGCGTATATATAAGGATCGAAGGATCCACATAGACATGTAGATTCATTAGATATGATCACTCTGGGACCAGATGGAATATATCTATCTATCTCTCTCGGTTTTCCCTCTCAATTTTGCTTCTGCATTTCATTTTCATCAATCTCGGGTTTCCCTCTCAATTTTGCTTCTGCATTTCATTTTCATCAATCGGACTATGTCGTTTATATGTTTGAACACAATAACAATTAGTCTAATATTCAATAATTTTTTCGTTTATGTTGATTATTGCTCCCATTTATAACTATGAGAAAACCTACTACATTCATACTAAACCAAACTTCCCGGCCAGCTCCCACCAACTATAAATAAAAATATAACAACTCCGATCCATATAATAATTAAAGAATAAACATACAGTTATTATCCACTAAATATTTCAGTTATGCTTAATTTCAAAAGATTCCACGTCCCGTTATTAGAAATTGCCCTACTTAGTTTGAAAGTTACTAGTTGTAGTTATACATGTAGAAGAAAATGATAAAATATCCATGTAAGTAGTTTTCTTCCTTTATTCCATTCAAACACACTTACAATATGAAGAAACTTAAAATGCTTAATTCATTGAGGAAACTATTTAAAACTCTTTTATTTTTCTAGTCATAATCAATCCACAAGCATAGGGGGAATGCTGAAATGCATGATAATGTTCCCTATAATAGACCTTTAATTTGTGAAATACCTCCTCGGACCTCGCACATAGCGGGAACTTACTGCACCCGGTTAGCAATCAATCCTCAAGCACAATCTTGACACCTCCAATTTTCACAGCACCAGAACCATTCTTTGGAACAAAAGTCACCACCACATGATCATCATCCTCAGCATCTAAATCTTCCAGCAGCTCAGTTATAGCCAACTTCAACTTAGTCTTACGTTTCTCGTCACTCTTACCATGACTATGATGTGGCACGTTCACAAAACTACCTGCAAACTCAGCATTATTCGGCGAAATTACAGTCTCATCTTCATCATTAATCAACACATCAAACTTGACAAAAACATCAGTTTCCAGCTCTATCCCTTCAACCACTAAAAACTCCTCTTTTGCATCTTTCTCCTCCTTGTTTCTCTTTTTATTATTTGGCCTTTTCACCATTACTCTTATCACATGGTCAAGTTTTGTTGGGAAATAATCTTTTGCTTCAGCAAGCCTCCTTACGCTACTCAAAGCACTTGAAACCCTAGCCCTTGGACGAGAATTTATCCACGGATTAACTACACCTTGATAAACGTATCCAAGTCTTGTTGTATCCAAACAGTCACGTACCCTAATACGTACCATTTGTGCTTTCTCATCGTAAAACAAAAACGAAGAATTTAAGAAATCAGGGTCAGTAAAATCTTGACGTCTTCCACCTAGGGTTTTCCAAACACTCCACAATCTATCAATATTAGAATGATGAGCATAGAAAATAGGGTCTCTACCAGCTGCATAAAAAACTCCCATATTTTCAAAATTAGGTTGGGTTCTATCACCGGTCCAAACATGGACCGTTCCATGTGGAATGTTCTCGAGGGACCCAGCACCACCCGGTTCGCCACCGGCACGGTAAGGGTCTCCGAGGAAAGCTGCCGGAGTACTTCCTAGAGAGACCATTTGCCTATACATGATTGTCAGATTCTGGGAAGTTTGTTGAGCGTTACTTATGTTAGGATCCGCTCCATTGAAGTCGAGATCAACAATGACCGGAGGCTGATGCTTCTGATCACGGAGAGGATCGAAGAGAGAAGAACTACGGTTCGCATACATGGCCGGAAGTCTCATGCCATCAGGATGATCCCAGTTCCAAAATGGGATAGCGAAAGTAGGGTCATTTATTAAACTTCCCAAGATTTTTTCGAAGAAGTAGAGATAACAACGATGGAAAGGGAAGAAAAGCCAAGAGGAATGAACTTGGAGTTCAGAACTTGGGAAACCTAGTTGTTCATAAGCTCCATCACAGTAAGCACAATGAACATTTGCTTGTTGCTTGAAGCTACGTGGATCGTTATCTGGAAGTTGTTTCATGAGCTGAATAGCTCTGTTGAATTTCTCTATATAGGCACTATCGGCGGAATGAGCTGCTGGCCGTGTACGGAGGGTGGTTGACGGTGGTGGAAGTTGGAAGTCGATGATGTTCGCCGTTGTCGGAGGACAACAGTTGACTGGTGCTGCACCTGTTACAAAAATATAAATTACTGTAATTAGACAATGAAGAAAAAAAAGGCTTTGAGGCGTGCAAGTAACTTTTTTAAAGTATATTGCCCGTATATTATTAGGAAAAATATGGACAAGCTAAGTTTTATCAGAAGACAATAAATTAGGCACGATATGTTGCAAATTAATTAACTTAACCACTTCTCATATAGAAGGACTGAATTCATAGATAATTTTTGGACTATTCAAAATTTTTATCCCTTACTTAACGAACATGCATATTCATTAATTTAATTTTAAAATNCCTGGATTTCAAATTATCTTTTTTCTCCATTTTTTCTTATTTCTCCCACCCATTCTTTTTTTTTAAATTTTTTTTTTTTAATAATGTAGGATTCCAAAAGTCATGTCTCTTGAAAATGAATTCCAAAAGCCATTACAACTGATAACCAACCCAATGACCACATTTTAAAAGACCCGTAGCAATTATATAGCAAATGGTACGTAACAGAAAAAGTTTTTCATATTTGACTTTAAAATTCATTGGTCATCTTTCAAACATTTTGTCCATCTCTATTGAGTGGATGCATCCTCTCCCCTTTTTAAAAAGTTTGTTCTCCTACCTTCGTTCAAACATGCATTTTTTTTTACTCCTTTACTTACTTATCCCATTTGAATGGATGTCGGCGTTTGAATTTCAACCTTATGTAGATTATTGTTTTGCATATTTCCAGTCCACATCTTGATTTCTACATATTTTGTTTCTCTCTATCTGATATCTAGAAAATATAAGTATTTTTGAGATTTTTTGTTAATATAGCAATTGTAGTTGTACCGATTTCACAAATATCCTGCATAAACTTGGTTGTTTTCAGGTTCAGAAGAAAAGATTTGAAGCCTGAAATTTGGCGCAAGGACAGAGAGATCCTTGATGTTGTAGTTTTGATCTAGAAAGGCTTTCTCTTATGCGCGGACGTTAGTCAAGTGTAAATTTTACATTTTCCAATTGGCCAGGTTTATATTGGCATCTTCACTTTTCTTAAAAATGATGATATTTTTATTTGTTAAGATTTTTTTTCTTTGCTGAGTTTCAAATAATCATTTGAATCATGCAACATATGTTATTATGAGGAAGGTAACATCATCTTGGAAAGAGGTAAGTTTTCGTTAAGATCTTTAGTGATGGAGATGCACTGGATGTATACAAAAGAATGTGCATATTTATTTGGAATAGTGTAGTGTTCAGAACTTGAGATTTAAATAGAGAGATATTCACAAATGATGTTTGAGTAGACTCCTAATAGTGCTAATTTAAACTATTCATGAGCGGCAATATTGATTTCCTCGGTTGAGATTATTTCATAATTGAAATTAGTCATTCGTTAATTGAAATTAGTGGCTGAAATTGGTGTCATGAGGCTCTCTCCTTTCTATATGTTAGCTTCCATTTGAAATTTATCTATTGAAGCTAATATTGTATTTAAATATAAAACAAGTTCAAGTAACTCACCTATTTTTAAAATAAGAAAATGAACTTTTTTTAATAGTATTTTCTCCTCTTTCCATTTTCAGAAATTATTTAATTTATTTAGAAATTATTTAATTTATAATTTCTAATTGAGCAAAAATTAAATATATCTAAACTAGAATAATAAAAGTCTTTGAGTATAATACTTTAAAAAACTATAAATAATTATTAAAAAGAGAGATGGTAGAAAATATACGTGTCTAAAAAAGTTGTTTGGGTGAAATCAAAAAAAATTGATAACAAAGATAATTTTATACCCAATCACTACTTGGAATGTAGACATATTAAGTGAAGTGTGATGAACATTGTGATTGTCTTTGTATGATTTATTTAATTTCTCAGTTTTGAGTTTTCTCCTCTCATTTTAATAGGATACTCAATTATACTAAATTCTGACAATTAAGCTATGAAGGACTAAAAGCACCGTTTCACGTTTCTCGAAAACAACAGCGTTTCAAACCAAATTTTAAAGTTTCAGTTCATCAACACTATTAGAGTTTAATTTAGTTGCAGCTCTACGAAAAATACCGTTTCACTTTTAGCAGATGAGGTCACGCCTTGAACAACAATATCTATAAATGTTGTTTACATATAGTTTAGTGTTATGGAGTTTAGAACATATTAGATTCTTATTATAAACTTGGATTTTGGTATTGCATAGAAGTTCAACTTCCTGGTACTTCTCTTCCTCCAAAACAAGCATTCGACAACAATATCTATAAATGTTGCTTATATATAATTTAGTGATATGAAGTTTAAACTATATTAGATTTTCATTGTAGCCTCAGAAATTGATATTGGATATATAGTCGTTCAACGCTCTTTCTATAGTATATTAGAATATATAGTATATTGAGTTATATTGGTCCTTCTATGAAAATTAACAGAGTTATTCGGCGTACATGTCCCTTCTCTCTAAGAGAATTACAAAGACATCTGTATACAAAAATTTTATCGCTCATAATGATTTTTATATATTTACTATTCTTACAAGGATGTAATGCAAGTTAACATTAAATAAAAAGATTGATAATATTTGTCAAAAGTTTGATATATGATAAAAACACAAGAATTTATAGTAGTATTTGGTTGAAAGTAAGGCTCATGGTGCTATTTACCCATCGGAATTGATTAGTAAAATTAGACGAGGTGTGCGTCAGCTTCAGTCACACAGAAAGGTGATAAAATTATTATATCTTAGATTTATGGCCTAAATATATTTAATTTTTATTGTAATCAAATAATAAGTCAATTCTATTTTCCCGAAAGCATGAACAGGTTCGACGACACTGTTACTTTAGCCTTTCTATTGTTGTGTCGTCGTGGCTATTATCTTTTTGTGTTCACTTTAGAGGTTTTGTTTTGATATGACTTATGGTTTAGCTTTTGAAAAATTAAATATCGAAAAGTACCTTAGTATTGGAGCTTTAAAACTTATATGCTTCGACTATCTTTCAAAGCAAAATTACAAATATTTTTAGTTTTCGCAAAGCTCAATTTAAATTATTTGTAATATTCGAGTACTAAAAAATATTTCGTCAATGAAATAATAATATTTTGCTTTCGCGCGGTCAAATTAACTAGTTAATATATATATGTAGTGCCTTCAACTTCATATTTGTGTTTCGACGTGAGATATACTCACTTCATACATACATATACATATACATATACAAATACATACATNTGTTGATGGTTTGGTCATCTTCTGTACCCTTGCATGAAACTTGGAAACGATAGTTACTGCACTTATCTATAGTGGAAACTTTTGATGTCTTTGTAAAGAAAGGAGAAGAATGCAAATTGGAAAGAGGTGTGGTGGTTAAAGAAGAAGCTGATGAAGAGATGGCATTGGTGGTGAGAAGGGGAAGAGAAGCCATTACTATAATTTTTGCTTTGTTTGAGGTGTAGTTCATGAACATCTAGGATTAGCATTTATATAGAATGTGGAGAAAAGACTTTTCTCTATAACCATGTGGTGAAAAAGAAAAAGAAAAAATACTAACCAAAAAGATGCTTTCATATCTTAACTTCCAGCTAGCTGCCTGGGATTTTCTTCGTATTTATTTGTTTATCTAATTCAAAATTTGAAGGTGTACTATATTAAAAGCACGAAGGTCCTTAGTGAAGTGTCGTTCCCCTTTTTACCCTTTTAAAATAGATTTTATATTAAACAAAATCGTAATTTAAAATTACCTAAAATTTAGCACTTGAAAATCTACTGAGATTTGATTATTAAATTTTTTCTTATTTTATTATATACCTAAATTTTTGGACTTTAACATCAATGAAAATTACCCTAAGTAAATCATTAAAAAGTCAATTATTAAGAACATTAGTACTATACGTTATTCAAAAGTAGTTTCCATATAGCAATTAGCAAATTACATCCTAATTAAAGGTACTCCAGTTGTTTTCGTGAGAATAACATAATTTTTTAACAACTATGAGTAACTTTTCGAACAACAGTTTTACTTGCACTTAATATTTGCAACAAATTATATTAATTTATTATAATTATAAGTCTTCCATCTCAAAATACCAAAAGACTCTTAAATTGACCCTATTTTTTCCCTCTGGGTGCAAATCAATTGCAAGAGGTAGAGACGAAAACGTAAAGCAGAGATTATATAAAAATCAAACTAATGTCTCATAATTATTTTTGGATTGTTAAAATTTTGAAGATTCTTAGGTTGTTAATGTTAAAAATGTTACTAGCTATTGCATGCAAAGTGATTTTCTTTTTAAAGAAAATATTAATAAAATACTTTTCAATAGTGTTGTCATAAAGTTTTGTAATTTATCCACGTATTCATAAATTTATCTAGCGGATAACTATTGTATATAATTGTAAATATATAATAAACTAGGGATATGTGCCTGACTGATATTACTCATGACTATTGGACTAAAGGAAGAGTGTTTATCAACATGTATATTCTCTTATTCATGATAATGGTTTGTCTATAAAGGATGATATGCGAACTTGAATCAATCCCTAACGAAAGTTCAAATAACAAGGTATAGATGACTTTCGTAGAGCATAAATCTTCCTTCATTGAGTTAGATAAATAGGATCAAGCTTTCATCCTTTTCGGAGTTTAATTTTTTTTAAATAAAAATCTATATATCTATATAATTGAGGGCCTAAGAGAGGTGATGTGACACTCTCTAAAGCTAGAATTTTTTTTATCTTTACCTCAATTTTTTTGTTTTTCCTCCCTTTTCTTGATTTATATTCTACTTAAAATAATCCAAAAGTCACCTCACTAATTCTCCATCTAATTGCACCCGTTCACTATTATAATAATCATCCTAAAAGTCACTATCAAAGACACGGTTAATCTAACCGTTCCTAATAGGACTCATGCTTCTTCTTTGGCGTTTCATCTTCAAAATTCATAATCAGATTTTTTCTTCTAATGTTTACTTGAACTGCATATTATTATAAATATTTTAATTATGTAGTTTTATTGATTCATCACTTTTGTTTCATTCCCTTAGACTTGAGTCAACTTCTTATCCTTCAGTCATCTTCTTCATTAAGCCTCTTCCTTATACCTCCTTCAAATTTCCTTTTCATCATGTCTTTTACGTAGTATATAGACCTTTACTTCTCAATATGGGCCCATCATTCCTCCTCAATAATATGCATCTCAAATTGTAGTGTATGATAATGAATTGATGTTCATGACTCCACTTTGGATGACAAGGGTCTCTGCACAAGATCGACATTCTACGAATAAATGAAGGAATAAATAACTCATGACATATTTTAGTGTTCGATGGAGATTTTTTTTTCATTTATCTTTCACTTATCTTCCGCTAATTCTTATCTTTATCTATTAGGTACTTATTATGGTTTTCCTTTTATATTTCCATGGTCATACTTGTGTTTCGGGTTCAAATGTCAAGACATGATCTTATTGGTTCACTGGTTTGGTTTTCATTGGATACTAAGGTTCCAGTATATTTGTATGCTTGTGTTTCGCTGAGTTTATATGCTCACTTCATGATCAGGATATTGAGTGGCTACTGAAGTTGTTAAAGTATTGACTTTGGTTATGATAAGCAATTTCTCATTTCTTCTCTTGAAAAAAATCACAGAATGCAAGATCTTTTGAATCTTCATATTTCTATACTTGTAAGGGCATTTGAAATATTTAACTTTCTATTTTTCAGTTAAACACGTTTACGCTTTAGGACACCTTTTTATGACCAAAATGCATAATTCTTTTTTCTCTTTTTTCCTTCTTCATTTCTCAGCCTTAGTTTTTCAGTTTTAGTTATTCTGTAAAATCAAATCGCTAATGCGTTTAGTCTATTTGTTAGCAATCTATCTATATTATTTGGAAGTTAGAAAAGAATAAAGAAAATGATATTTAACATTTTTTCTAAGAAATAGAAATAGGTACGGAAGTAAGAAACAACA